TATCAATTTACCTCTGGCCCTCGCCCGCTTAGTGAGTGACTGTCTGCCATCTTCCTCTTCCCACACAGCTAGCTGTCCCAACAATACCTCCAGTTGAACCCCTCTGACTCCATCTCTCGGTTAATTACCGCTCCTACACGGGATGTCCCCCCTGCCTTGAGTTTCAAACCATTGCTGCAGATCAACTGTTCCAGAGGCCACTGCCTGCTCCTTTACCTCTGACACTGATTGAACACACAAATGTCTTTCGACCTCGCTCTCTTATCCCCGTTTATGTCTGGCCTCCGACAGCTGTGGTCTAATCAGCTGCTGATCATTCTTCCTGTTTTAAACGATGTAGTACGTTTCTCTCCCTACGTACAGTGACTGAAAATGGCGTTCAGATCTCCTCCTGTTGATGTACCACCTCCAAGCACCTCCTCCCTCTTTTAAGCTGTATTCAGCCTACTCCAACGTTTTTTACTTCTGCTGACGTATGTCTGTTAATTTCTGAACATTGTGCTTCTTCCAGCTAATGTTTGGAAGATTCAGATACACCTGCTAACATTACAGATACCATTTAGCTGTTTCATGCCAATATCAGCTAATTCCACCTTTATTTTTACAGTAAGATGTAGTATGAACAGATGCTGAGATATATTCATACATTAAACGGGTTCTTCATTTTTCTGAACTGTGTAACATGCGTGCATTGAATTTAACAGAAATGTAACGAGAGACGTTATTTATCTTTGACCCATCAAAATGAATGCGGTCATTTATTTACAGAATCAAAGTTTAACATCAAACATTTACATTAATTTGGCAAAATATGAAAATAACAACAGCATAATTAATCAATCAGGAAAACCATACGGCCATGGTTTTCCGTTGCTTCACCACAGACATTAATGAAAACATCTGGATTAATTTTCTAGCAGAAAGGAGAGTTTGAAGATGGAAAATTGAGATTTATCTTACAGAGAGATGTGTGAGGGAATTTATCTGTTTTAACCAGAACAGCACGCTCTTGGGAAATCAGCTTGTCCCAAACAGTACACTTTTGGGTGAAGGTCGACTTTACCTTTCTGAAGATAGATCAGGTCGGCGTGAAGTCCTACTTCCAGCCACTTTCAGCGTCTCCGTTGAGAACAGCTAAAATACCTCGAGAGTCGTGCGAGGTTATCCAAACAGAAGTTATAATTCCCAAAATCGTCTCTGGTTCAGCTCTGCATTCTGGATTCCAAGAACTCTGAACTCTCCTGGAACTCTTTGTGAACTCTGTAACTCATCTCTTCTCAACTCTACTGTTGAACTGGGAAGTTGCCACATTTAAACGGGCTATACTTCCGGTTCATTTGAGAGCTTTCTGATTCGTGGATGGACCAGAACAGAGGTGTGGTTTGTGATGTAAGGTGTTACGGAAAGTCAAGGATTGTTTAAGAACAGACAGAAAGATATCATGGGAAAACCAGACTTCGTGGTGCCACCTCTCCTGTATCTTGCTGTAAAAGTTAAACATGACATTTCTTTTCAGTAAACTTTTTAGTTGACCGAAGCTCGAACTTTAACACACTTACAAATTTGCTCATTGAAGACAGAAAAATCAAGAAATGCATATTACCCTGATTTCTTCTTTGAATGAGGAATAAAAATCATTACTACTGTTTAAGTAAATAAAAATGAGTAGTTCACTTCAACATGTAAACATTGTTTGAACTAACACAATTTGATTATCAAAACATTTGTAAAATAGTAATGATCATAGAGAATTGTCTTTTCTACTTGATTAATTCAAGAAAGAAAGTCTCAGGATGGGTCAAACTGTATTTCTGGATGCAGATCAATGAAATGACAGTTTCTGTCCATCTGGTCAGTTTTGACATAGGCCTAGTCCACTACAGTCCAACTTTTACAGCCTAATTCAGGAAAACCAAGCTCTACCCACTTGCTTTTTGTACTTTAAGACTATTTCTGCTTGTTTTAGCTATTGGTCTGCTGGACTTTTATACTTATTTCATATCCAAAATTGTTCCATCTCGTTTGGATTGTTCACCAATATGCACCCAACTCATGTATGGACCCTGTAGCCTTTCCACAGAGCCACATGTAACATATATATGAGTTCCACACCTGATGACCGTTCACACACTCAGGCATTCAATTCTCTTACATTCACATGCACAGCCGGCCCCGTTGTGATAACACAATACACAAGTCTGTTGTATGAGAAAAAAAAACTCAGAGTCCAGACTTGTCCTTGCTTTATACAACAGCGCCCCCTTTCGGTCAGGATATGGATGCTCCAGTCAGTCCGAGTCACCTGACACAGACAGAAAACAACGCACACACTTTCACTTAAAAAGGACAGAGCAAAAAAGAAAAGGCTTCACCTTCCCCCACCCCGTTTAAACAGAGGGAAAACCAATCTTCTATGTCAGCCACACACACGCGGTCCCAGATAAGGGGACAGGAAGAAACACCTCCCCCACAACAGCACCACAGAGCAGAAAACCAGAAGAAGAAAGAAAGGGAAAAAAAAAGCTTCCTCTCACAGACACACACGGCGTCCAATCTCCAGAACACCAACCCCCCCTCACACACACCGACAGAGAACAGTCACAGCACGGCACAAAAACTTTTTTTTTCCTGACCCTAAAACGGTCCCAGACCGCCAGAAATTTGGTACTAAGTCCCAGACTGCACGGTCACTTCGATTAAATTAACAATTACTCTTATTTTTCGCGGACAGTCAACACCCGTGGTGGGAGAAGCCCCCACAGCCCCCGAGTTTCCACTAGTTAGGCCCACCTCGTCAGGTGAGCCCTTTAGCGGCCAACCACGCTGAAAACAAAGTGAACGTGTATACTACTTTTTTTTTTATATAACGTTAGACTCCACGGTCTTCCTCCGCCACGATTCTAAATCGTGTTCTATCTAAACAAAGCCGTGCATAGGACACACACACTCGTACACGCACGCGGGCAAGCACGCACGCGTCTCGCAACCCCCCCAAGTCTGAATACAAGTAATCTGTACGTCAGAAGTTCCACTAATCACTTTAAATTAGCTTACCAAACATGTGATTCGGGAGATGGTACGAACACCCACAGAGGAAGATTTCAATTTGGTTTACGGCCGAAATGCGGAGTAATTCGAGCCTTTCGGCCACAGAGGTAACTTCCGCTTACCTTTTATCTTTGCTGGGCCCAGAAGTTCACAATGTGGGAGTTCAGCACCCTCTCGACCCAATTCGTGGTTCCGTCAGCTGGACGTTCGGGGTCACCAACTGTTGTGGCTGAAGCGCCACTAATGGTGTTCAAAACAGCTGATACGGCCACCTTAGCTCAAAAGATTTATTGGACAACAAATTACAAGTATTCAGAAATCATTTAAACAAGATACATTGTATGCATACAAGGGGCATTTTACTGAACCGACCTTCAACAGATGAGTCTCCAAGCAAATGCACAGATCTGCAGCCTCTGTCCCTGGATCTTATCACAGATTTTAGCAGGCTCTGTCTCTGATTGGTTTAAACAACCCGTTGTCATGGTTACGGGGCTCTTCTGCTTTGCTTTGATATGCCTTTGAGGTTACATACCATAGATAAAGAATTTTATTGCTCTTTGTTAGTCAAACGCTGGTGTTTTTGCTGTGAAGATTCTCTCCTCTAAACTGATAACAATTGTTAAACGATTAAATGCTACTTTCTATTATCTTACTAATTTTATTTAGTCAAACTATATTAAGTCTAAGTTAGAGAAATGTGTTCTAGATTATTTTATGTTCATCAGTCTGTGTGTGTGTGTGTGTGT